AAAAATGTTTAGTTTTGCTTTTTAATCTGGAAATAGTGGTGTGATCTGAGCCAAGGTGTGTGTATGTGTGCATGAATGTGTATCAAAGTGGCTAACAAACAGAACTTAATAAATTAGTAAAATAAATTAAGTTATCTTTGCTAACCATCACAATCAATATATATTTAATGATTCACTGCATAGTTCTGGGATACGGAACTATCTGAATTTAAATCAGACAGCTAGATAGACAGGAAAAATATTCTTCTTACCAACACATCAGTTCAAAGTAATGTCCCAGTTTTACCCATCTATTCTTGCCCAAGTGATATGTTTGTGTTTCTTAATGGAGAGGATGTAGAGAAGTTTTGATTAAGCAAGATTTCTCCAAGACTTGTTTGGTGGGGCATCTTGCCCATGCATTCGAGAATTAACAGAACCTTTTCTAAAAATTCCTATCAGTACCATCATACAACGAGATACCAGATGCTTTGAAGGAGGCTCTGGTATACCTAAATAAAACCACCACCTAGTTCAGACCAATTTCCAAATCTGTGATATTTAGGCAATTTCTAAATCTGTGATATTCATTATTCTAAACAAGCCTCAAGGATTCTTGGATGAAGCCTGGAAGCTGTATGGATTAAGGCCCAATTTTCTAGGACTTGGTAGAAGAATTGTTTACTTATATCATTCCTGGGCTGTCAACGTAGCTAATATTTGAATAATTCTGTCTTGGTGGAGTAGGAGGTAGAATTAATTGGTAATTTGATAGCCTAGATTAATAGAGGGTAATGATTCCTGCTTTTAGTCTTAATTTTCTTTCTCATCCTTCAACCCTTTTAGCGATTACATACAGTTGCTAGGAACTGTGGGAGTAGGAAGTAATCAACGTTTTCCAATTCTTATTTATATCCAAGAAGCAGATGTAGCAACCCTAGATGTTTGAATGAGTATCTATATCAGTATCACCCTACCCTATCCTGAGTTTTTTGGGGCACAACCTGAGACTAGGCAACAAGTTCTTGTGATGTTACAGATGTGCCTATGTTTAATATCAGAAAGATAAGTCAGTCAAAACTTGAGTGAAAGGATGAGCTGCCACCTGATGAACTATGTCACAGACTAGGGAGAGATGGTGTTGACCAGATAGAAACTGGTCAAACATTACTCTACTCCAAAGTGCCTTTGAAAAGATCACTTATTATGCCAATTTAGTGAAATTTCCCTCCCCAAGAGATTAATCTGGCCCTTCTATTATATTGCTTCTACTAGCAGAGAAAGAGGAGAGAGAGTTAAATAAGAGTAATTTTGATAGTTCCATATCTTCATAAGTGAAAGTCTTAAATACCAGTTGACTATAATTGGTAAACAGTAAATATAAGTAAAGTAAGGAGTGAAAAGCATGTAGCTTCTAGTTTGATGAATGTTCACATTTGGGGAGCCGAGCACAGTAAGAGAATCTTAGAACATGGCATTCAGTTATAAGTGTCAGCATTGGATATATTCCGTAGTTGTGATGAAATGCAAATGTGTAGATCAAGTCAGATCAAACGTTGGTAAAAGTAGTTTTTTGGTTTCTGTTTTACCTGACTGGATATTTTATTTATTTATTTATTTGCAGTATTTCTATACCACTTTCCTCACCCCGAGGGGGATTCAAAGCGGTTTACACAAAGTAATGGCAAAATTCAATGCCAATGCAAACAACTACAATTATACACTACAATTAGACATAAATTCATCTTGGAAAGAAGTGACAAGTGGAGTGCCGCAGGGTTTTGTCCTGGGCCCGGTCCTGTTCAACATCTTTATTAATGACTTAGATGAAGGGCTAGAAGGCATGATCATCAAGTTTGCAGATGACACCAAATTGGGAGGGATAGCCAATACTCCAGAGGACAGGAGCAGGATTCAAAACGATCTTGACAGATTAGAGAGATGGGCCAAAACTAACAAAATGAAGTTCAACAGTGACAAATGCAAGATACTCCACTTTGGCAGAAAAAATGAAATGCAAAGATACAGAATGGGTGACGTCTGGCTCGAGAGCAGTACGTGTGAAAAAGATCTTGGAGTCCTCGTGGACAACAAGTTAAACATGAGCCAACAATGTGATGTGGCGGCAAAAAAAGCCAATGGGATTTTGGCCTGCATCAATAGGAGCATAGCGTCTAGATCTAAGGAAGTAATGCTACCCCTCTATTCTGCTTTGGTTAGACCACATCTGGAATATTGTGTCCAATTCTGGGCACCACAATTCAAGAGAGATATTGACAAGCTGGAATGTGTCCAGAGGAGGGCGACTAAAATGATCAAGGGTCTGGAGAACAAGCCCTATGAGGAGCGTCTTAGGGAACTGGGCATGTTTAGCCTGAAGAAGAGAAGGCTGAGAGGAGATATGATAGCCATGTATAAATATGTGAGAGGAAGCCACAGGGAGGAGGGAGCAAGCTTGTTTTCTGCTTCCTTGGAGACTAGGACGCGGAACAATGGCTTCAAACTACAAGAGAGGAGATTCCATCTGAACACGAGGAAGAACTTCCTGACTGTGAGAGCCGTTCAGCAGTGGAACTCTCTGCCCCGGAGTGTGGTGGAGGCTCCTTCTTTGGAAGCTTTTAAGCAGAGGCTGGATGGCTGTTTGTCAGGGGTGATTTGAATGCAATATTCCTGCTTCTTGGCAGAATGGGGTTGGACTGGATGGCCCATGAGGTCTCTTCCAACTCTTTGATTCTATGATTCTATGATTCTATGAAATCAGATTAAAACAATACATCCATAAGCAATAAAACAATCATTAAAACAATAAAACAGTCTCGTCCGTTGAATCACCGTTCCAGTCATTGTCTTTCCGAAATGCTGCATACATTTACTTCTACTGCCCGAAGGCCTGGTCCTAAAACCATGATTTTAATTTTTTTCTAAAAGCCAGGAAGGAGAGAGCGGATCTTACCTCATTTGGGAGTGTGTTCCATAGGCGGGTGGCCACAGCCGAGAAGTCCCTGTCTCTCGTTCCCACCAGGCGCATTTGCCATAGTTCTAAAACTATCAGAAAAAAGAGGCTGCTATCGAATCGTCTCATGTGGGTCAAAAACTTTTTTCAGTTTTGGAGCCAATGGCTATTGATATGCATCACTCCAGTGAATTGGACCTAAGATTGTTTGATGCTCCTAAAACAAGCCATGTTATTTAAGAAAGAAAAAGAGGAAGCAAGGAAAGTATAAACATGGATTACAAATGCTTGTCTTCTCACTACCCATCAGTAGCAACAGTGTTCTTCATTTAGTTAATTAACTTTTGGACACTCTGGGCAAAGATGGATGAGTCTTTAAGGTTTCAAGGACTTTACACATCTTCCTAGTGTTTACAGTAGGAAGGACTTTTGGGGTGGCTGTAGATCAGTGGTTCTCAACCTGGGGTCCCCAGATGTTTTTGGCCTACAACTCCCAGAAATCCCAGCCAGTTTACCAGCTGTCAGGATTTCTGGGAGTTGAAGGCCAAAAACATCTGGGGACCCCAGGTTGAGAATCACTGCTGTAGATGTTAAAAAGGACAGTAGAGTCATGACATCCTCCAGAAGTTGCCAGACTGCCATTCCCAAATTATTCACTAGAATAGTCAGTGGCGATGGGTGTTAGGAGTTGTATTTTGACACTGAAAAAAGTGCAATGTTTGACTATGCCATGAAGGTTCTATCACAGAGGGAGCACAACATGCATGGAGGTGGTCTCAGGTTTAGTTACCGGTGCTTCTCAATGAGAAAGGGGGATTCTGGTATAGCCATGGCTGTCCCAAGTAAGAATCTTCCATCCACTTGCATGTACAGAGTGACTTGGACTGTGGGATGGGCCTTATCAACATAGGCAATTGGAACGTACAACCCAACACTCTTCAGCAGGCTACTGCAGTTTCAGGTCACGGGATAAACTAGTGACACACAGAGAAGAATGAGTGAGTTGGTTTAAGGAGAAACACTTGGCGGTGAACAAGCTTGTCACTCTTTTCCCCAGAATCTGCTCAAGGCAGTCTCCTCAACCTTCCTTATGGAAGGGCCAGCTCTGCCGTCAAAGTAGATAACATAGATTGAGATGGTCCAACAATCTGACTCAGTGCAAGAGGGCCATTCACAAAACTGCTTAATGGGAGTTTAAACTACTGCTGTTTTAAAATTGAGAAAGATAGTGGCAGGAGGCTTAATTTGTTTTTTATCAATATTATCTTGGTCATTTTATTTATAAAGGAATTAAAATATTTGGAATTACCCTAAAACTGAGTTAGACCAAGATAAATGTGCCAATGGTCACTGTGGCTTTAATTAAGCTGGGGATGTCTGCTAGTAAGCCACCCTGTCATAAAAAAAAATAACCTTGTCTATTTATTATTGTATGATAACCTTAAATAATTGTAACAGCAGTTAACGAGTGTTTTTGCTGGGACCCAGTTTCCTATAATATTAATTCCATGAGATACTTATGGAATTAAATGTGCAGTGTGTTCCACTCTGCAGATTTGTGTTCTTTCCTAAGAGATTTCCCATCATAGCAGGCCAACTATGGCAAACTATGGCCTGCTATAAGCCACCTTAATTGTATAGACTCTCCGTAATGATAAAACCCATACCTGCAGTTTCATTTTCCAGGTATTCTGAATGATTATATGCTTCCCTTAGAAGTTAGGAGAGAGTGTATTGGAGGACCTTGCCAACTCCTATAGAGTATACTTCTCTAGGAGTTTGCAAGGTCCTCCAACACAATTCTGTGGCATGAGGTTGGAAGTGAGGTGAGTTAGGGTGTATCCATAGTTTCACATAACCACAATCTGGCCAGCTACATATCCCACCACAGATATGAAGGTCTTATTGTACATATAATTTTCAGGAATTGGGAATGTCTCCTGTATCCTTTTTTAAAACCTGTCACTAACACAACAGTATTCATGTTGGATATTTGGGTGCTAATAAGCTACGTAGTGGGAAGACAAGATGCAATTTTTTCAATATGCTTCCTCTCTTTAATTTGCAGCAAACTCCATAAAGCTAGAAATGCAAAGTGATGATGAGGATTCTGACAGGAAGCCCCTGAGGCGGGAAGACGGGATCAGGGGTCATGATGAAGGGAGCAGCTTGGAAGACCCTCTCACGGAAAACCATGAGATGGTGGAGCACAGAAAAATGCAGGAGCTGTCAGGCGAGGGAGGAATCCGGCTTCCGAATGGTAAACTGAAATGTGACGTCTGTGGCATGGTTTGCATTGGGCCCAATGTGCTAATGGTGCATAAAAGGAGTCACACTGGTAAGCAGCTGAAAGAAAACGTGATGACTGCCTTTGGCATCTGATGTTGATATTGCCTGACATCTGTTCTCTTGCCTGTCTTGATTCGCCAAGTCTAGCAAGGAAAATCTTTTCCTTTCAAAATAGACCTGTTTGTTGGCTAGTTAGGAAGAACACTCAAAAGCATATGTTTAAGGCCTTTTCTATGTTGTGGTATGCCAGCATTGTAGAAACCATTATTTCTATATCAAGTGATCTTTATTTTGAAAGAACATCCTAAAATAAATCTTCTAAAATTAGAGTCCCTTTTTTGTATGGGCTTTAAAAGTATCCTCATTTTCCCTGTCCAGGCATGTAGCGGGGGGTGGGGTGGCTTCAGCCCCTCCCCCCGAAATTTTGATGGTGGTCCGCGAGAAGGCCTTACTGGTGCATTATTTAAACTGCTATGTTTATTCATATCATGATCTGATCACTATACTCAATATATCCCATATGCATGGGGGTATTGGGGTAACGATACAAAAGGTTTGCTAGGGTAGACCCTCTTTCACTCAGACTCAGCCCCCCCGAACCAAACTCAGCCCCCCCCCCCCGAAACAAAATCCTGGCTACGGGCCTGTCCCTGTCTCTTGGATCTTTCAAGGATATCTGCCCCAGGTAGGTTGGGCTGAGGAGCCTCAGATTCAACCATTACATGTCCTTAGTCTGCTTAGAGGTAAATAGGACATTTAGTTAAAATTAGGATATCCATCACCATGCAGGACAACCATCCAGTCTTAGATGTATCATGGAAGCTATGTCTAACAACAACTGTCCACCATAACAATACTTTTTAGTCTCCATGAAGTATTTAGTTTCAACTTACATAGGAGTGCAATCTAAGATTCACTGAAAACAATATAAAGTCAGAAGTCTAGTTTATTGTTCGTTTCTCAGTTAAAACTATATTCATATTTGCAAAAAAAACTTGATAATGCTCATAGCAGCTAAGTCAAATCAGAACTGTACATTATCAGAAAGTACCTGTTCTTCCTCAGCACTTAGAAAAGTTTCTCCTTGGTTACTCTCCAAAAAGTATGTTTTTCCAAGTTCTCTTTCTATTGGGTCCTAGTCTTTTCCCCAGTCGGTTCCGTTTTTAAGGATACATCATGTCTGGTCATTGTTTGATCCCTGTGGGATTATTTTAAAGTGTTCACATTATAATAAATTTTAATAATATTTTAGGCTTTTAAAATGAATTAATAATGATGTAATCCTCCCCCCCCCCCTTTCCAAATTGGTTTAAAAATCAGTAGGTTTTTCAGTTTCAGATTGTCTTAAGTGACAGTTCCATGGAAGCACATTCTAATTGTGTTGATGAAATATATTTATAAGCAGATGTGTTGTTCGGAGCTTTATGAACACTTTCACATGAAAATATATCATATACTAAGGATGTTTGGTTCACCCCAAAGAGATCGACATGTGCAAAGTGATTCAGCTATTGTTTAATAAGAAAGAAAAACACTTACCGTATATACTCGAGTATAAGCTGGCCCAAATATAAGCCGAGGCACCTAATTTTACCACAAAAAAAAACTGGAAAACGTATTGACTCAAGTATAAGCCGAAGATGGGAAATGCAGCAGCTACTGGTAAATTCCAAAATAAAAATAGATTCCATACTATGACATTAATTGAGGCATCAGTAGGTTAAATGTTTTTGAATATTTACATAAAACTGTAATTTAAGATAAGACTGTCCAACTCTGATTAAACCATGATACCAACCTTTTTCAGTGTAAATGTGCTTGCGTATCCTTCCAATAATAATAAAGAGAGTGAAATAATAAATGTAACAAGCCTTTGGATGCATCTAAGCATCATCATCATCATAAACATAATAATATAAATAATAATAATAATAATAATAATAATAATAATAATAATAATAATAATAAATATAATAATATAAAATAAATAATAAATAATCTTGACTCGAGTATAAGCCGAATGGGACTTTTTCAGCCTTAAAAAGGGGATGAAAAACTAGGCTTATACTCGAGTATATACAGTAAATATGAAACTAGAGAGGAAGGAGGAAAAAGAGGAGGACTCAAGTCAAGTCACATCCAAACTTCTGTCTAAAGGCCCCTACTTCCAAACTCAGTCTAGTGGTGCAATCTAGTTGTAGATAGTGGTGCAAATGAAGAAGAGCCATAGCTCAGTTTCAGAGCACATATCTGGCATGTTGTGGTCTTAAATGTTATTTTTGGCATCTTCATTTAGAATGGTTATCATGTAGTAGGTCTGACTCTTACTGCCTCCTTCTCTTAGAAGAAGGGCTATGTGAACCCATGATCTTAGTAGATAGATTCGTATGGAAAAGGGTAGTATCTGAATGGAAGCAGCAGTACTTGGAAAGATTTCCTTTTTGAGGCACACTTCTATACTTTGGGAGTTGTAGCTTCTCCAAGTTCCAGATAGTAATGTTTTAAAGCAAGTGTACTTGAATGTGCCATGGCTATAAATTACAAGCATTCGCTTTGTGCTGGGTTGCATTAAATTGAATGGTAAATACAGAGATATTTTGGACATTTTACACTTTAGGCACTTCAGCGTTTTTTCTTTAAAAGAAGCATTGTGTCCAAAAAATAGAGATAGAGGGATTACATAAGCCACTGCCCTTGTTAAAGCCATTAGAGTTCCTATATTGAGGAATAGCGCTTGTTCCCTCTGTGCAAAAAGGCAGTGATGGCCTCGGCTATTCAGACGTTCTCAACCATGTAGAAATGATTTCTCTTTTGATGTGTAGCTTTGTTCTCTGCTTTGGCTGACCTCTGACATTTCATAGCTATTTTATTATATCAAACTTTCTTTTTGTATGAAGGAAAAGACATTTCCTGATGTATGTTTAGGCTTCTACTTTATTTTAGAGATGGCTATTTGTAGCTCTATAACATAAAAGACTGTTCAATATGGGCTATTTAAAATATTATTTCTTACAAGGTTGTTGTAAGGATTCCTGAGATACAGCTTGTGCATGCAACAAAAGAAAGTGGTAAAGTGCTAAGCTTGTAGAACACAATGTACCACTTCAAAATTTAGGTTGGTCAGGTATATTTTCTAGTAAAGATTATTATATGTTCACATATATGGGTGTGTTTGTGTGTGTGTGGATATGGGTAAGTCACGTTCTCTTAGCTTCAGAGGAAGGCAGTGACATGCCAAGGAATCTCGCCAAAAAAATCCTATGATCAGGTCACCATAAATCAGAATCATTACTGTCAGACAACAGTAACAACAACTCTTTGCATACAAGCAGTTGTGAAGCACAGAATCCTGGATGAGAATAGAAATGTTAGATGTGCACAACTAAAATAATTCGTATGGTCATCTAAGAACATTGGCCTAAACCAGTGATGGGCAACCTTTTGAGCGAAAACCTGAGCATAACTTGGGTGGAGTGTCACTTTGAGAAAAAAAAACCCCATAATTTTGCAATATTTATAGTTTAAATAAGAAAAAATTATAATCCGTGCTGAGTTATGGAGTGAACAATGCTCAAATGTGCAGATGTTAAATTTGTAGAGCCTTTTACAAATTTAAGGATGGAATTAGATTGGCTCTTAAAAGGTGTATTTCTCTGTATGTGACCGCATGTGTCTGCATGCCATCAAAAATAGCCATGCGTATCAGTGCTGACACGCGTGTCATAGGTTCACCATCACAGGCCTAAACACTCAGTTGCTTGTCCCACCTAGGGTAACCCTTTTTATTTGTTGGAAAGAGTTGTTAAATTAATATTTCCTCATTGATTTGATGCAGGGATTCTCAAACCTTTTCAGCCACCGACCCTTTCTGAAGCAAAAGTTTCTTGTGGAGTCCCAAAAACTGTTTACACACACACATATTACGGAGATTAAGATCTTCTGGGAAGGCCCTGTTCTCGGTCCCACCACCATCACAGGCGCGTTTGGCGGGCACAAGAGACAGGGCCTTCTCAGTAATTGCTCCTCAGCTATGGAACTCCCTTTCTAATGAGATCAGGTCAGCCCCCTCCCTCTTGTCCTTTAGAAGGTTGATAAAAATATGGCTGTGGGACCGAACCTTTGGGACTGTGCAACGAGGCAGTGATAGGAACCCTTAGAGTGCCAACCAAATTTGATATGGTTGTTGAGGCAGTTTTAACTAGTGGATTTTAACGTCGAGATATGTAATTTTAATGCTTTTGTATGTGTATGGCCTATTATGTTTCGGCATTGAATGTTTGCCATTTATATGTTGTGCTCCGCCTTGAGTCCCCTTCGGGGTGAGAAGGGTGGAATATAAATGCTTTAAATAAATAAATAAATAAAGTATATACATGGGCAAACTTTTTTACCAATATAAACTTAACAGTATTTCAGTGGAAGACCCTATTTATTATTTATTATTTACTTCATTTATATACCGCTTTTCTCAGCCTAGGGGTTGTCCAGTGTAACCTCCTTCTGCCATGCAGTAAAAGCATAATCAAATCACCTCAACAGATGGCCACCCTGCCTTTGTAGTAGTAGTAGTAGTAGTAGTAGTAGTAATAATAATAATAATAATAATAATAATAATAATAATAATAATAATGGCAGAAACTTCAGGGGCCATCCAGTCCAGCCTCCTTCTGCCATGCAGGAAACGCACAATCAAATCACCCCTTGAGTGGTGGGAGGGAAATAGGGTTTTGGAAGCAAGAAAAGTGAGGGGGAAAGGATCTGGGTGATGAGGAAAGTGAGGAAAAAAGGTCTTTTAGGGGTGAGGGACGTGAATAAAAAAGGCTTTCGGGGCAAAGAAGGTGGGGGAGGGGAAGGGGCAGGAAAGAGGAGGAAAAGCTTGGAAGGGGGGRGGGAGGGGGAAAGAAGAGGGGAAAAGTGTGGAGCCTCTCAGTACCTTTGAGAACCACCGATTTAATKGATCTATGTAGTTGAGAGTAACAGTTGAATTTAGGCCAAGGTCTAAAATTACCTAGCTATACCACTTGGAATCAAGGCACTTTTTCTACCTAAACATCCATTTGAAAATTAGTGCCCTCAAAATGATTACTTCTCCACTTGACTGTACACGACAACATACCCCATTTGTCACTAGTGGCATATTGAACAGCAAGCAAGGAAAAGAGGTCCACTGTATTCAAACGGCCCTGCCTGATCTCCTGGAGGGAGTTCTTACTTGCGATGATGTAACAGGTGCAAAGTAAGCAGATAAGTAGGCGGTAATTGTGGCTGTGAAATATAATTAGCTAGCCAGCTCTCTCTGGAATGACACCAACATGCACTATGTATTACTTCTCAGCCTTTTGTTGTGAAAGTTCAAGCCATTTACAGGTTAAGTATCTGTTATTTGAAATGCTTGGGACCAAAAATGTTTTAGGTTTTTGTTTGTTTGTTAGTTTGTTTGTTTGTGGGTCGATTTTGGAATATTTGCAACTACAGTTTGAGTGTCCTTTTCTTGAAAAGTTAAAATTTCAAAGAATCCAAAAGGTTTTGAGGAAAGGGAGGTATTGATCCATCCAGACCACCTCTGAATTTTTCTCAAGGAGCTGTCACTCCTGAACTATCTGAAATTTAATTGGAGGGGTGGGATGGAAGGAGGGAGGATTCTGAGTTCTGCTGTTGGACTTAACACAAATCCACTGTAAAAAGCATACATTGAGGAGGAAAATGCCCAAATGCATCTGGCTGCTGTGAGCTCATGGAGTACTACAAAGCTCCAGCTGCCTGGTTTATCAATCTTGTGCAAGGAAGAATAGGGCAGGAGAAGAGTTTGGCTTTTTTGTACATGTTTTGCCAATGTATGATGGAAACTACTTCGTCATGTTGTTTCTTCTATTCAGTTGGTCCCATCTCACAAGTTTTAAGTTCTACAACTGCAATTTTGCTTTAAATTTCAATAATTAAACCTACTTTTTATTTTAAATTCATCAATAGTGTTGAGTCAATAATGAGGACTAACCTGCAATGATCTACAGTTTAGAAATCCTAAATTACTTCAGTAATTACTAATCTCAGGCACTTAAACTACCTTAAATACAAATAATAATAATAATAATAATAATAATAATAATAATAATAATAATCTTTATTTATACCATCTGCCTAGGGGACTTGGTGCAGCTTACATGAGGCCGAGCCCAGAATACAACAATACAAGCAATAAAAACAACAATACAAGCAATTAAAATCAACAAGACAGTAAAACAATAACATAAGCATTAACAATAGGACAACACACTTTCAAATCTATGGGTAGGCCAAATGTAATTAAAATTTAAAGATAATGCTGGACATGGGCGAAAAAGTGATGCCACCACAAACATAACAATTAAATTAACAGAATAATTATATCCTTTTATTTCCATAAACTTTGTGTCATTGTGAGTTAACAAGTGGAGAAGGTCCCCAAACCACAACAGTTAAAATTTGTGAATTATCTTTCCTGAAAGCAGTTTAATGTATGCATGTCTTGGGTGCTTGTATTTTTGCATTTTGGAAGGAGAGTTTGTGATGTCATAAAAAAGTCACAGAAATCCCGCTTTGTTGGATAGTGCATGCATATAGAAGAGTGGGACATTTCCCAGCAACCAAAAATGGGTTCTTGTTTTGAGTTCTTCATCAGTGAAGGTATTTGTACTGTGAAGTTTTCAGGTATCTTCACAAAATGCTCCGCATTTCAGAGAATCATAGAGTCATAGAGTTGGAAGAGACCTTGTGGGCCATCCAGTCCAACCCCTTGCCAAGAAGAAAGTCACATTCAAAGCATTTCTATTTGCATTATGCAATGCTACCCTGAAAGATGTTCGCACTTTTTCTTGGAATCTACAAAGTTATATGAACCTTGCTATATAAGAATCAGATCTTAGGTGAGGCTAATGGTAAATATCCAGGTCTTCAGGAGCTGTTCACCTACCTGAAGAACTTCAGTTAGAAATGTCACGGGTGGAACTTGTGGTTTTTAACATGCAAAGCATGCACTCTACCACTGATGAGCGTTTACTGTGTCTAATTCTTGAACCATCAGGCAAATGAATTGAAAGAATGATAAGCAGGACTTCCCAAGGGCCCCACGCTGTCACCACAGCTGATAGATCTGTTATTATTAAATATGTTGTCAGGTGCTTTATGAAGGAAGATTTGCAACCCTCCTAGATTTTCTTTGTCATATTTATTAGTGTACCTGCTCCAACTTTTGGTAAAATAGATTCTTACCTCTATCAGCCATGTTTTCCTCAGTGATTGTCTCCACTGTGTTCTCCTTTGTAGGCGAGCGTCCATTTCACTGTAACCAGTGTGGAGCATCCTTCACACAAAAGGGGAATCTACTGAGGCACATCAAATTACACTCGGGGGAGAAACCGTTCAAATGTCCCTTCTGTAGCTATGCTTGTCGAAGGAGGGATGCCCTCACTGGACACCTCAGGACACACTCCGGTGAGTCTCTTTCATATCTTATAATGTTGAAGCTATTGAATCTGCATTAAACGCCCTCTTCTTGTGATATGTGGAACTATCAGACATTCAAAATAGGTGCAGTTTGCTGCTATGAGGACTTAGTTTTCAGTTACACATTTGGACTGCCCCTTGGATGGCTGTGATGGAAAAACAGACAAAGGTTGATCATGTTATTCTACATTTTAGTTTTCATTTTCTGTCCCTAAATAATAACTTTAAAGTGTTATGATATTCTTAAAAGCAACATTGTTTTAAGTGAAGACTTGACTTTGAAGGATAGCAGTGGAAGATTTGTGGGTCTTGAGAAGTGGAAAGGTTTTTAAAGATTACTTTCTAGCTGTTGAAAGTCATAAACCCATCCCCAGCTGTTAAACCCCAAAGATCTGTTTCCTACTGATAAGATAGACAATAGAGTGAAGAAGGGTTTCTACCATGTTTAGGCTGGATGCTCCGCTTTCATTTTACAGATCACTCCTTCAGTGATAAGCTAAACATAAGTTTTTAAGATAAGAATTGTGGTTTATTCAGTATAGGAAAGATACCAAGCTATGCAGGAAGAACTAAATCTTCTAAGGAACAGACTGCTCAGGTGCAGGTGAAGATCCTAGCTCCTGGGGGATACCATCATTGTAACAAAACAGTTGGTCTGCATTGGTTTTCAGTTTTGATCTTTCAACCTAAAGTGGCACAGAATATATATATTTTTTTTTTTGCATGAAGTTGAACAACAAATGAAGACTTTCCTTGTGTACATTTTATCTTTAGTGATGTCTTGTGGTAAATTTTACATCTGTTATTTTGAATAGGTGTCAGAAGAGGTTCTGCTTTCACTCACTCTGCAAAACTGTTCCCCTGCCCAGATTATACTGTGGGTTAAAAATCCTTTCTTCAGCTTCAGGTTACTCAAAGTAGGCCCCTCTCCTGTTTGTGTACACATTTCTGAATGTTAAACACAGTTACAAAGTCTCAAAGTCTTGAGATGGAAGAAATACCAGTGAACCACTGACTGAGTGTCTGGTCGTATCTTTAATTCTTCTTTGCTACAATTCCTGGATTAATTGAACTTTGGTCTATCTTATTTAGAAAAAGAAGTGTCTTCTTCAATAAACCCCAAAGACACTTAATCTAAGAATCGTAGCAAACAAGAGTGAACAGGAAACTAAGTGATCCAGCAGCAATCAGCCCATGGTTGAACAGTATTCTTTCCATCTCAAGACACTGAAATTACAGCTGTGTTTAACATTCAGGACCATTGAACAGAGACTGCTTATTTGTTTACTTCTAATAGATCCCTAGTATGCCTTTCTTTTCAATGGACCACAGGTTTATACTTTTAAAGAAGCTAGTTATGCAAGATTAAAAGTTAGTCATATGATGTAGTACAGGGTGAGGCAACATAGCTTCTTTCTTTTCAAAACTTAATAAAACCCATTGTTTGAATCAGAAATTTCTATTTTTTTTAATAATGTAGGCGCATACCTTAAGTTTTGTTTTACATAGTTTTGAAAATCAAATTAGGTAGGTGACGTCCCCCATTCTTCATTCTCCATACACTGAGTAAACCGATTTCTGGCGTTTGTCATGAGTCTTGCCAGCATAGCAGGCGTTATTTTGGCACTTTCTTCCTGGATGTTGGTCTTCAAATCTTGTAGGGTCCTTGGACGGTTCACATAAACACGGGATTTAAAAAAAAAAAACCCATAGAAAAAAACCACAAGGGACCAAATTTGGAGAGTTGGCCAGCCACACCAAATCCACTCAAAAAGTAGGCCTCAATGGCAAAAGCATGCTCCTCACTGTTCCAACACATGATGGTGATTGAACTGGTAATTTATTCCTGGATGTTGGACTTCAAATCTTTTTTTTTTTGCAAATTATTTTTATTTAGAATAGGTGCTCATAAGAGAGGAGCGTGACAGGAAGGACGTTTAAAGTATTTGGAGTTAAAAATATTGGTTTCATTGAAAGTGGGGGAACATTGTGAGACAGAGTAGAAAGCGAGAAATAAAAACATAAAAAAAAGAAGATATGGGGGGAGGTAGTACGGTTGGGGGAGAACACACTGGGAGCGGGGTGGTCTCAGACGCAAAAGACGGTCTTTAAGTCTTGTAGGGTCCTTGGACGGTTCACAGAAACACGGGATTTCAAAAAAACCCATAGAAAAAAATCACAAGGGGCCAAATCTGGAGAGCGGGCCGTTCACTCCAAATCCGCTCGAAAAGTAGGCCTCAATGGCAAAAGCACGCTCCTCACTGTTCCAATGCATGAAGGCAACTGAACTGTGTCAGGATAAAACTTTATACTCCCGCCTCTCACACGAGACCACTAGCACTCCGCTGCATCTTCAACCGACTGAATGGCGCACATTTTTAAAAAAGAAATTATACTGCCTCACTCTGTATAACTTTCCATGTTCTCATGTTGAACACAAGCATGGTAATGTTGATAGCACTTATTATGAGTTACTAGTCTATTTTTTATTAAACTAGGAAGTTCTAGAGGGTCAGTTACTATGTATCACTAGGTGCTGTTAGGAAAAAATAGTTTTATAAACAAGAAACCACAGTGATGTCACAAATAGAGGGGGATAAAGTAATGTGTGAACATCTAGAATAGGGGATATTCATCTTTATTTTCATCTTAATGCCAAGAATGAGTAATTCCTGCTATAGTCTCCCTGTTAAATTAGAATGCAAAAATTTCTACTTAGTTCCAAATCACTCATCCTTCAAGAAATATTTATTTGTGGAGATTACACAGAAAAATTTTCTTTGCAGAAAGAATACTTTCTTTGCAAAAGCACATGTAGTTTTGTGTAGAAAACAACACACATGCACATAGTTTTTTTTGTGCAGAAACATATGTATTTTTCTGTGAATACAATATGTATTATGTGAAGAAAACATATTAAATATGATCCATTCAAGTAAATCCCATTTATTTGAATTGATCATATTTGCTTTCAGGCTGTAGTCATTAGTTCCTACTGCAACCTTATTTGTATCCAAAGTAGCTTGACTGATGTACCACACTACAGATAATGTATTGGACTTTTGTGGTAACCTAGAGTGCTCCTGATAAACTGGGCTTCTTAATTAAAACCAAATGAGCACTAGGACTTGATCCTGAAACTATTGTGAATTTCAACTGACACTACCCACATACCTGTATTTTGTTGTATGAAAAAGTTCACCAAGTTTTATACTAAAGGTTTTCCACCTTAGGGAGCCACTTTTTACTCTGTTTAAGCCCTCTGGTCACTCTTCATTTCTTTCTTCAATCAAAGTGGTCCTTTCACTGCTCCTTCTTCTTTCTCAGAGTGGCTAATTCGCACAAATTGCAAAATGGGTTGCACAGGAAGTGTTTGCTTGCACACATTTTTGCATAATTGTGCTGTGCTGACTTGAGGCAAGGCATACAAGACTCTCTGCCCTGTGTAACAGAGGAAGAGATTTATATCTCCTTAACTAAATGTTGAGTTGTGGTTCCTGTGTTAGATAGGTACAAAAAACATAGACAGTTTATTTGGAGCAAGCAGATTAAATACAATGATTAAAATACAAATAGATACCAAGAAAAAAATATCCAAGGAAACACCTTTCCTTGAGACTAACACACATACATGATTTAAGGTTTATCAGAAGAAAGGCAAAGATCATTGGCTTTTTCTGTTTATGTATCATTTGAGAGCATGTATTTAATCCTGTAGTGTTTTTGTAATTAGTTGCAGGGGCATAGTTTCCTTCCCTTTCAGGAGGATTATCTTTCCTGAAGTCACTGCAGTATGGCTTCTCCACTGGCCAGAATAGAGACTGTCATTGCTGGAGAATGAACAGGGGCACACCACAGACGATCTACCCTGGCAGTTTCTTCTTTTTATCTCTTCCGTCAGGACTCTTTATGGTATCCAAAAATCACTACTAAAAATAAGACCAACAATTTTTATGAAGCAAAGCAGCTCTATGAACTTTTTAAAAGTCCCAAGCCATGTATTCATATTGATCAAGATGGCTGATCAAGATGATTGAACAAAGTGGTGGAGGATGGATCTTTGCAAAACACATGGTGCTGTGAATTTTGAATGTGTCCCTTTGTAAATCTCTTTATGCATTAAGCGATCTTTCAAAAAAACAAAAACAAAACATCCACATTCCAGTTTGCACAGTCCATCCATGGGGGTTACATTCCTGGAACTAGCATGGACATTAAGCAGAACCACAGTTAATTGTGCATCCTTTTGAAATGAAACACTTCTGGCCCAAAGGTATTTATTTATGTATTTATTTATTTCATTTTTACCCCACCTTTCTCACCCCTCAGGGGGCTCAAGGCAGCTTACAAACTCCGGCAAAATTCAATGCCGCATGGATATAACAATCAAACGCACCCCATCAAATTATAAAATAGTTTAAACAATTAAAATACATAAGCAATACCACAGAGTCATGCTGGAGGATCTTGAAAATCCCTTGAGTTGACTTTTGTTTTTGGTCAGGACATGGATTAAAGAAACTGTGGATACTGCTCCCATGGATATGGAAGTCAGGCCATACTAAAATAAATTTTCTCACCAGATAAATGTTCTGTTTGTTTTTCTTTCTTTATTTTACATGTTACCGCCCAGCCCCCAAGAAGATTATCAATTGAAAGCAATTAAAACTATATATATATATATATATATATATATATGTATATGTATATGTATATGTATATGTATATGTATAATTGATATTCAAAAAGACTTAAAACAGCCTTAAAAAAATCTAAAATATAATTTTGAAATAAAGCATACAATTTCAAACATTAAAGGCCATTGGGACATGTTTTAGCTGTCCAACTGAATCCCAAAATAGAAAAGCATGCATTTTAAACCAATTTTATCTTGAAGTATTTATTATCTCCACTTTGAACACCTTTGAGTGGAGAACTGCATCACAAACTTAAGAGAAGTGTGAAATATGGTGAATAATTACTTTCAG